TTTATTTATTTATTTATTTATTTGGTACAGGGTCTTGCTACACATGTTGGACTCATAGTGATCCTCTTGTCTCAGCCTCCCCAGTGCTGGGATTACAGTTGTGCACCACCACGCTGTGTTTCTGTGCCAGCATGGCACACCTGGGGTTCCAGGGCAGGCATGGTATGCAGTACCAGGAATCAAATCTGGGTCCTTATGCTTGCCAGGCAGGCACTTCAGACTACTGAGCTATCTCTCCAGCCCTGAACAACTAATTTCAAGACAGCAATATACAACGTAACAACCATTGTTGAATTCCTATCATTTTGTTTAGCAAAATTCTGTTTCATTTCTGTTTTTTAAAATGATTTTTTAACTTCAAAAAAAAATTTAAATGACCAAAATCAAACTACAAGCTCTCAAAGGGCAAGATTCTGTCTTTTCATCTGCTTCTCTATGTTTGAGCCAGGAGACAGAGGCTGAATATATGGTTAACTGCCAAATTCCCCAGCCACTGTTTTGCTCACATTTTTTATGCTACCCACTTCAAGTATGAGGATAATAATTTGATCTAAATAGTGCTATGGAACCTATGGAGTTCCTGGAAAGGCAATAAAGCAACATCAGGACTGTTGAGCTATTAAAGTCACTGTAACTTACACTTGAGGAAAAAATGTTTTGAATGATTGTGCAAATTATGGCCTACTATGATCTCCACCCACAAGGAAAACTCACTCATCCTCTACATCTGCTATAAGTTTATTTTTAGCTATCTGCAGTTGTGGACAACTGGGTGTTTCTGTTGCCATCTGAAGCCTGAGTGTGACCATCTTGTTTTCAGGCGCACTATACTTTCGTATGTACTCATTAGTATGAGGACCAGAATTCCCTTGCCATGGCAAATATCAGCATGTTACGGCAAGAACTTTTTTGTTTAGAAGTGAGGATGATAATGAGTAACTTAAACCATTAATCTATCTCCCTTAGAAGCTGAAATTGCCAACAATTTTCTTATGATTGATTGTACCACATAATGTGTGTTTAGTTTTCATTTAAAGTTGTGCAAGAGTACTGAAAAAGTTATTTTTAAATCATAAGCCTACTTTCCATGAAGCTAGAATTCTGTCTAAATTTGTTTAAAAAGTAATGCAAACCATTTTCAACTAAAAATATAGTTTATAAAAAGAAAGTAAAAAACATGAATAGTAATGGAAATGAGTACATTAAAAACAATTTCTTAAACTTGCTAACACAGGAGATATGTTATACCCATTAAATTATTGGCCTAAATTTAAAAAGTCAATAAAGACTGCTAAGCAATTAGTAAAATAGTATTATACGGAAAAGTGTATGTAATAGTGACTGACAACCACTATTCCTGAAAAATGTACTCAATAATATAAAATAGTATATTCATAATTTATAATATAACTCCATCTTGCATTTTTCTCACAAAAGGGAAATATTTGTTTCTCTTTTAGAAATTTATGCTGTTCTACGAATTCATTTTATGGGTATATTTTCTGACAAGTTTTTGTAACAACTTAAAGGTAAATAAGAATAATGTATATCACTTAGGTAAAACACATATTGCTAGTCTAATCAATGACATATTTAACAAATGTTTTCTGTATAATGCCTCCTATACCACACTAAAATCAAATCATAATTTACTTTAGCAATAATTACTAACTCTTATAAATTTTTATAATCATCTCATTTTATAGACAAAATGGAAGGTACACTAACAATTAGCTATACATATTTAAAACTATTTTCCAGGGAGCTTGTACTATTAGTATAGGCTGTTATTTTCTTTCTAGTTAACAGGATATTTTCAAAATTCCTAACTAATATTCAGTAAGTAGCTTGTAATTACAGGGAGGCAACCAACCATGTTTATAATTACAAATCTGCTTATTCTCACTAATTTTTTCATCCATGAAGCTTAAATAAGTAAACAAAAACCTAAGTTAATAGGATTATAAATTTAGAAACTACCAAAAAGGGCCGGGGAGATGGCTCAGTGGAATAATTGCTTCCCTGGCAAAAAGTATGATGACAAAAATAAGAACATCTTAACAAAATATACTTTACCCTTCATGCATTTTTTGTGCATGTGTACTGATTTTGCTCTGGATTATGAAATAATGAGACTTAATAGTAATTCAACAAAGGAACAGAGACTGTTAAAGAAAACAAATATTTCCCTTTATTTGATTGTATTACATTTACTCATAGGATATTTATAATAATTAAATTTCTCAATTTAAAAGTCTATAGATAATGCTACTTGACTGAAAACCAGTTCAGCAAATAGCATATATTTAAAAAGTTTATCCATGGAACATGATTTCCACATCAGCTCAGCTTAGTATACAACAGTAGGGCAAGAATGCTCAGCACTTAAGAATCAGAAGAGTAATGCTCAACACTATTTTATCAACAATGAGTTTGTCTTACTCCTTTGCCAGGTGCACGTTTGTAGGTTTTGCTCCAATAGGTATCCCATATTTGTGTAAAGTATTAATCAAAATCTCCTTCATGTCGTTGTTGTAGGAATCAAAGTCAAACACGTTCCGGACCACACTGGAGAGACCTTCAGTAGGAAATTTCTGTATTAAAAAAAAATTCTTATTATGTACGTGATAAAGCACACAACCCTACAAGATTTACAAAACTGATAGAACAATGATCTGTAAGTGAACCCTAGCAGAAATTTCCTGGCCTTGTTAGATAAGGCTAGTAGGAATACATACTTTTTGTTTGCTTGGATGACTCAATAATATTTGCCTTTTTAAATAAGTACTAGCATTTCAGGAAGAGGAGGTCTTCCTTTCAAATGTTAAGGCAGGGGCCAGGGAGATGGCTCAGTGGAATAAGTGCATCCCTGGCAAGCACAAGGGCCTGAGTTCAATCCCCGGTTCCGCCAAAAAACCAAAAAAACATCAAATGTTGAGGCAGTGCTCAGATCCTGGGGTTCAGTGACTGCCACTGTTTTCTGAAGCCTCCTGTCTTTAAAAGGAGTACCAGATAGACCAACTTAAATGCTTAGTAAAAGATAGTATTTAGTATCAACACAGAATTATTTAGAAAATTCATAGTATATGAATAAATAAAAACAGATATGTAAACAAGCAGAGGAGAAGAACACAGAAAGTATAGGGAATACAATTTTTTTTTTTTTTTTTTTTTTTTTTGCAGAACCAGGGATTGAACTCAGATCCTTGAGTTTGCCAGTCAAGCGCTTATCCTACTGAGCCATCTCCCTGGCCCCAATATAGGGAATACAGAAACAGGGAAAACAGGGAAAGCAAATAAGAATTATTACAACTAAATGCATACTGCTACTTCTTCGAGGTCCTTTACTGTCTATGTTTTGACTTTGTTTAGGTATTGGACTCTAAGCTGCCAAAATTGAATTTGTGGCTTTATAGGTCTATCAAAGCTTTGTTTTTTCCCAAATATATATTTTTAATTGACAAATCAAAATTTTACACACATATGGGACAGAAAATGATAGTTCCATATGTATGCATATATATCTTCTGGATGGAGTAAGTCTAAAAAATCAGTGTCCATCACTTTTCACAAATTTTTGTGGTGCAAACATTTTAAATTGACTCTTAGCAATTCTAAAATGTATATCATATTAACTATAGCCTATAACTACCATACTATGTATAAGATCTCAGAAACTTATACTTCCGTGTAACTCAATCTTTGTTTTTCCTCCTTCCTTTCTCCTCCTCATCCTTTCTTCTCTCCTCTCTTTTGTCTAATTGAATCTTGAACTCTGCTCCCCACTCTGTTTGTCTTTCAGAGTTTTCTTGGAGAGATGGAGATGAGGGTAAGGTCAAGAATCATTAGGCTAGCTTGGACCCTATTATTTGTTATACAAGAACTTACATGAGTTTTTGTTTTGTTACTGAGTAGACTACATGGTCTGGGCCTACTTTTTCTTGTAAAAACTTTCTTGTAATATTTACAGTTATATTAATATTGTTAGGTCCTACTCTGTTTTCTATCTTCATGTCATTTGTTTCAAATTGAAAAGACTTTCTACTCAGATACTACATGCTTGCTGTACAAAGCCAACAACATAGCAGTAATGTTTCACCCAGGTCTTGCTGTCTCACTTTCCTGCCTCACCTCCAACGACATAGACTCTTCCCAAATTTCCTTAGCAGCAGGATAATGACCCCATGATCAAAGACAATTCAGACTCTAAACATGTACTGTTTGCTGGTCTTCCAGATTCATGACAGATTACAGAGACTTCAGATCATGTCATTTTATTGATTAGATACAGAAATTGAAAGGCCTAGTATAAATTGTGCAGTGTGAAAAAAAAAAAAAAACCTTGGTAGCTTCTTTTAAAATTCTGTGCATGCATATGTGCTATACCTGTAAATGTCTGACAATGCTGACCACTTCCCTTGTGGAATAAGGATAGTTAATAATGCCCTGGTCAGCCAAGTTCCTCAGCTCCCCAAAAGCAGCCACAAGCTTCTGAAGGATGGGTTCAGGCACATTTGGTCCATACTTTTTGAGCATTTCAAGCTCCGAGTGGGGCTTGGGGTTGTCAACTGCATGGCAGCTAAATATGTCACCTAAGGAAAAGACAAGATTCATATAAGCTGATCTGTTAAAATGTACAGGAGAAAATGCAGTAGTCATTTTAAAGAGTCAGTGGTCAAAAGTGGAGAAAAGCCCATCCAACCATGGAGTGATACAGAGGAGAAAGCAGGTTACTAAAGCAGAAGAAAACAGGGTGATGAGTTTGCTTCTATTTAAAAACTGTATAATACTGAATATTTTTTGAAGGATAATAAAACACAAAGCAGAAGTCTTCTTTTTGTCTCTGCCAATGCCTCCCCTCCACACAGTGGTAACAGGTCATATATTTATCTTTCCACACCTATATTGGTTCTTAAAAAAAATACACGCATGTGAACATAGTTTTAGTGATTTATTCCTTTTCATTGATGGACATATATTCTTACTATCATTCTGAGAATGCCTTTTTAACAAATGCATCTTCAGAAATGATATATATCCATCATACATGAATGCTTCTTTATGCATACTAAAAAAGAAATTAATATCAGCTTCCAAATAAGTTATTTTGTTTAAATGGCTTAAATGTACTTTAGAGGTTAGTTTTAGGAAAGAAAATCTGCAGATGCACTGTCTAAAATAAAATCAAGAAAAAGAATGTAGAAATAAATTCTTTACCTGTAATTTAGACTACTAGAGGAATGTAATTTATGTCAAAAAACAGATGGATTTCTCAGTTAAAAGTTTGTTTAAATCTAAGGATGTATAACCAGAGTGAGCAAGAACCAGTCTATCCAGGTAGCAAGAAAATCTTACTTAGATTTAGAAACCATCTGAATAAACATGGTGTGTGTGTGTGTGTGTGTGTGTGTGTGTGTGTGTATGTATGTGTGTGCATGTGTGCACATATGTGTCTAGTGTAATCATGTATTTAAAAGGAACTAAATAGGTATGGTGATGCCTGCCTGTAATCCCAACACTGCCAGGCTAAGGCGGGGGGGGGGGTCACAAGTTTCAGACCATCCTGGGCTTAGCAAGCATCAATCTCAAAATAACAAATACAAAAAAGGGTCAGGGAATGTTGCTCAGTAAAGGCCTTTGATGCAATTCCAAGTAGTGGCAAAAAATAAAAAGTAACTGAATAAAATAAAAGTTGTGAAAACTTCAAACTTTCATCTCACAGCTTGAAAATTTCTAATATAAACATGTAGCATAGCTTTTGCCTTTTCTGCTGAAAACAAAATTAATGCTACTATAAAAGATTATTGACCTTTGTTTCATTCAGCCACCAAATAATCCCTGTCCTCATGGAATTTACACTTTAGCCCAGGGAGATAAATGATAAAGATGGATATTTGAAAGTGCCTGTTTCAAAAAGAAGCATAGTATAGGACGGTAGTGATGGTGGGGAAGGGCAGTTAGACTGACCACGTTGAGAAGGTAACACCTGAGCAAACGCAAGTATCAGGAGGCACAGCATTCCAGATTGTGGGCCCAGTTACTGCTATATCCGAGAAGGCAAGCACATCTGGTATGTGGAAGGAAGCAGAGTGCTGGAGCAGAACAGGCAGCAGGGAAGCAATTCAAAGCATGACAGGGCATAGGCCAGAGAGAAGAGACAATGTGGAAGACAGTATTGCTCAGGACACTGTGGACTGACTTGTGCTTGTATCTGAGAAAAACTGGAAGCTAGGGATGACTTTTAACAGAGGAGCAAAAAAACAGAGCTTAGAAGTGTGCTAGGAGATGTATTCATGGGTCTAGCACTGACACACAGCTTGTTAGGGGAGATGCTCAGCACAGTGACCCTGCTTCCAAGGTTGACTGTGCAGCAGGCTTGGGCAAGTCACTCTCTCCTTTTGTCTGGAATAAGGTAGGGCATGCTTACTGCCCACTAGAAAAGATTTGGGTTAACTAAGCTTAGGTTTCTCTCTTCTATAAAGCAACTCATCTCAAGAACATGAGCCCTGTAGGGACACAGCCCTGGGAATCAAACGCTAATTCTCTGCCTACTGTTTTTTTCTGTGTGTAACAATCTCTTTGTCTGACCCAGGAATCAGTGTCTTTTGACACAAATTTGAGGCAAGCTAACTTTTGGGTAAAAGAGAGGGTAAAATCCAAGATCTTTCACAGTTTATGACAAAAGACAATAGCCGAAGCTGGGAGTTCTATTAGGGGAGTATTGAATAATTCAGATGAGACAATGATGGTCTAGAACAGAATAGTGGCCAACAGAAGGGATGGGATTAAAGGTAATTCTGAATATAGTTTCAGGATACAGCAAATCAGATTTCGTAATAGACAATAAGAAATACAAAGAGAAAAGAAACATTTTGGGGGGAGAAGATACTCTCTCAGGCTTTCACAGAGAGCACATTGGCCAAGCAATGACTGTGACTCATCCACATGGCTGACACTGACAAAGATTCTACAATCTGAGGTACAGG